TAGTTTCAATTCATTATTTCAATTTGTACAAAGAACGTGAACAAATTGAATTTTCTACGGTGTAGTTATAAGGGTAGTGTATGAACGCATTAAATGTTAAACGATTGTGAAGACGAGACGTCAGCATATTCAAAAAAATATAGTGTGAACCTATTAATTACAAATGGTTTTCCTTTAATATATAGGGGATATTTCACCGAAATCCAAATTTGTTTAAAAAAAGAGAATGACGATTTTGAAAGAGAGGAAGTTGAAAGAGTATGGTAGCACAACTTGGATGTATGGTCTTTCATAGTTTCTTATTTGTTGTTCTTTTTGTGTATATTCTTATAATAATTTAACCGTACGTGGCCATGAGAAGGGGTCTCACTTGTATAAGAGTATCTTCAAAAATACTCTCTATTTTAGAGTTTGCAAAATTTGAAGGTTAAAGGTGTTTTTCTCCATAAGCAAAATTTCAAGCTTAAATTCAAAACTATTTATATTTTATACAATGGTCCTTATAATAACTAATTAAAATTCATAAAACTTTTATATATAACTAATACATATATAAAAATTATTATAGAAATATTAATTCTTATATATATCGTTTTAGTCCTTATAAATTCTTATCTCATAAAATTTCAAAATTGTTTTTATAAAATTAAATTTTATACATAATTAAAAAAACATTAAGATAAGATATAAGTATAAGGACCAAAATATAAAACTTTAAATTTGAAAACTAGAACTAGACAACAACAATATTACAAAACTTAATGTGGTAATTAATTGTATTTTAGTATTTAATTATATATTTATATTAATAATTTTATATTTAATGTAACATTGTAAGGACCAAAATATAAAACTTTAAATTTGAAATTTTTAATAGTGATACTCGTTGAAGTTTCACTACTCAAAACTTTAAATTTGAAGTTTTAGAATTCCTTTTTGGAAAGCAAAAAACTTCATATTTGAATTTATGAAATGTCGTTTGGAGATGCTCTAATGAATGTAGGATTGCTTCAACGTTGTTTCTTATAAAAAGAAGATAGAAAATTCAATAAGTTTGGAATATAGATTATAATTTGTAAAAAAGAATATTTAAAATTAACTATAAAAAGCTCAAACATAAATCTTTTGAGCGGTTTATACAATTTACAGGTTTTGAAATTTTCATAATTTGACGTTTTCAGGTTTGAACTTGTTAAGAGGTTCATTATTTATTTCCTTCCACATTACAACCGCATGCAATGCATTTTACTACAACATTTTATTTACTCAGAAGTAAGAACAAGTTTGGTAGAATGAATACACTTCAAAGAACAAAAACATAAATCATTCTCCTTGAATACCAACTTGTCTCCGCAGAGACGGTGACATGTATGACAAATTGGTCTAGAAGCACCACTGTTTGAAGCTATCTGAATCTTGAGACCCTTCACTTTGATATTATGGCCAGGTTTCATATAAGGATAACTTCCTAAGATGCACTTAGCATGTAGAGTGGTGCGGCAAATAAAGCATATGTAGAACAATAAGTATTCGTGTACTTCTTCTTCACAAACGTCACACCAAGAGTATGGCTGCCTATCTCTTCCCCAATCTAAGAATAAGTAACTGTCCCGTCTCTTCTCCAGCTGTTGTTTCTTGTAGTGTTTTCTATCAAAGTATAGGATGAGTGGATGTATATCATACTTATATCTGATAGCAGGAGGTAAATTCAAACATTTGAAATCAAAGGAGGAGTCTTCACATGTGGTACAAGTTGCCACAGTAGTTGAATGTTCATGGCAACCACAACACAAGTAAGACTTTCTGTTAGCAAGATCTTCTAGTCTAAGATAGAGAGGGCATTTGTGGGTTTTATGCTTAAATGGGTCAGTAAAGGAAGCACACTTTGCATCTATCTTGAACCCACAGTCTTCTTGGCAACATTGATACTTAAAACCACAAGAATCCTGGTTACAAGCAGAACATGTGAAAAAACCTTCCTTGGTGACCTTTAGGGTTAACCGATGGCGATGTAACGGATGATCCATCTCCTGTGGAAGGCGAGCACATTCTTCGTGTAGGGCAAAACTGCATTCCTTGCATCCCAAGAAAGTACCCATATCAATAGGAAGGATACATGCTTCACATAGCTGCCAACATTCTTCATCAACAGGGATTCTCGATAAGCCATGGTCATGGCTAAAATGATGTACTTTCTTGTCATCCATCTCTTCTAGTGAAGCATCTTTTGAACTACTCCCTTCCTCAGGTTCTCCTTCGACATGATCTATGCCGTCCCACACGTTGATATTTGTCGCACATGTTGAATGGACAACATAATCACATGTCTTGTCAATACAAGCATACCCTCCATAGCCAGAACTAAACCGTCCCTGGCAAACTCCACACTTGGCCTCATCATCAAGTATATGAAAAACGTGAGAAAGATAATGTGAGTGACGTGTGAGTTTTATAACCCTCGGTAAGAAGATGCAACTTCTGTGCACAAAGAAATCGCATTGTAAACATCCGAACATATCAATCTCATCTGGACGGACGAATCCACAAGCATCACAACCGAAAGAGTGTTTTCTTCGAAGGTAGGTGAGTGTATGCTCATGAATCTTTGGATTTGTTATTGTAAGACAGTTTTTGTGAAAATAGGATTTACATAGACGACAATAGTAAGTGATTGACCCATAAGAAACACCATTTCCACAAAGTTTGCAAACCACCTCTCTACTATCGCATGTACATTCTTGAAGAACATGACGTGTGTGAGATTCTCTAAGGATGTCATGTGCCTTGACAGTTCTAAAACAGTTACATAGATGGGTCATAATAATTTTTTTAAATATAAAACACTAGAACATTTATATCAAAGACGTGTTATCTCTAAAGTACACTACGAAATTGTATTCTATCATATATCTATCTGCACATATATTTTAATCATGTTACTGTTTTCATATTCATTTGAAATTAAAAATAAAAAGAAAACAAAGACGAAGCAAAATATTACATTCAACACATTTAAGAGACATTACAAACAAACAAACAAACAAAAAAACTAGAACTAATTTTAAATCATCACTAACACCTATGTAATGTACCTTCGCTGCTGCGTGTAAGGTATTTCCCTTATTTTCAGCCTGTGAAGTCGATCTCGCAAGTCGCTTATCCGGGGAGCCATGTGTTTTCTCTTGTAAGTGTTCGAACCCTACTATATACATATATAAGTTTGGGGGTAAAGTGTCCTCTAGCAAGGTCCGAACAAAGAAAAGTATAATTCTATACCCTCTTCCAAAAAGGCAAAAGTCAGTACTGATACTTTATACTTGGACTTACGCTATTCTACAATGGGTTGGGTTGTATTTTTTTTTAGATTTGGATCTTCGTAATTTCAGTCTTACTAAAATATTATAGATATAAAATTAAACTACATTAGCAAATAGGTAATTTAAATAGAACTAAAATAGTTTTCATAACAAAAGCTTTCATAAATAAACATGTTTGGCGTTAAAATTATAATTTTATTTGTATTGTTCCCATTTTATACATTGTTTAGCTTTGCACGAAATATATTTTTGAATATATAATTTTAATAAGAAATAAATTCTGCAATTTCTTTTTCACAATTTTTTATAATATATATATTGATAATGGTTCCTACTTACAATGATCTGTCTAAACTATTTTGTGACGTATTGGTTCCTTTCTTAGTATACGCTATACAGTGGAAAGAAAAGAATAATATTTTTGTTGCTAATAAAAAGAATAATGCTGTTATAATTTTTCTAACCTTATTGTATATTTTTGTTGCTAATAAAAAGAATAATGCTGTTATAATTTATTCTAACCTTATTGTATATTTTTGTTGCTAATAAAAAGAATAATGCTGTTATAATTTATTCTAACCTTATTGTAATTTTAAATGGTTTTCGTGGATACATGATATGTAATATATATATATATATATATATATATATATATATATAATTAAGTAAGTCATTGTTTAAATTTATAGATGATTTTAATAAGTTTTTTTATTTTTTTCTTGCAAATTGACGTATATTGTAAAAGAATTTTATGCACTTATGCATTATGGCAGGTATATGTGTACCATTCGAGTTTGAGTGGAGTTTTTTGGGTTTTTGGGTTCAATATATTCATAACTTATTCCGAATTTTACATATGTAAAGATCAGGTTTTAGTTAATAATTTTTTGGTTTGAGTATGTTTTATAACTATGTTTAAGATTTATTTTGGATCTAAATCTATTATGATTTGGTTAATTTCAGTTTGAATGCAGATATGTTTAGATAGCATATTAAAATAAATATAGAATTGAGTATTTTAGTTTTGAATATCTATTTGAATACTAATCAAGTTTTTCAAGTTCTACTTTTTGGATGTTTTTGGATATTCGGATTATCCATTCGGACTCGCGCGGTTAATAACATTTTGGTTCATACCATCCTTCATGATCTACTCAGACATATTTACAAGCTCGAATCGAATATTGAATCAGGTTTGGGTTCAGGTATTACACACTATTTACTTACATTGAATATAATTAATGAATTTAGTAAGCCTTCATTTATTTTTGTTTTAGTTATCTTTTTAATATTAATTATATATGTATATGTTTTATTCATCTATAAACACATGTTCTTTTTTTTTTCTTAATTCTAATGACTTTGGATCCGAACACAAATCAATACACTTTTGTTTTCCCTCATTTTCCTACAAATTTAACAATAAAAACCGTTGGCATAAACTCGAATCGATCAAACGAGCACTGGCAGGACATATCAAAGCTATTCCACAGAGAAGACCACAATGCCGTGGAATCATCAAACGTCCAAAGGGTAAATATAATTCCATTTCATAGTAAAACACCAAATCCAAAAACGTACAAAATTTTGCATGGTCTTGAGTTCGTTCACGTTTTGCTTATAGACTTCCTGAACACCTGATGACGTTCCAAAGTTCAGAAGAACTCTATAGATCTTTTACCAGTCAAAAGTTGTGTCTTTAAACTACTTCAAAGTTATGAGAGCTTCAAGATTCTTCTGGACCACCCACCCTTGTGGATAAGGGACATCCAAGGCATCCAAGTGAAGGTGCCAGTTCAGTATCCTCGAGCAAGATGGTGGAACACCTTCCATGTCGCTTTCATCTGCCACCACCTGCTCTATAAATGTTGTCTCCTGCTCGGAAACACAACATGTCATGTTGTATAAAGAGGTTTTGAAGGAGAAATCCTTAAATAAGGAGAAAACTCATACTTGGAAACCTTCTTTCACGGTATCTAGTTGTCGAGTTGGATGTGAGAAGGGACGTCGCCATCTGTTAGGGTCCCAGAGTATAGTGCTGTTGAAAGCAAATCCAGACATATCAACATGGAACCTGCGTAGTCTTTTACTCTTCTCATTAGTGTGCCATCCAATTACTTGACTTCCATTGCACACTGGACCTTCAAGAATAGCCTTGTTCTTGCTTGGTGCTAGCATTGCAACAGGCCAAGTTCCAAATCGTCTACACAGATTTAAAAAAAAAAAAAAGATAAGTATGGAAAACTGCAGTAAGGAATATGCTCAGAAGACTAACAAGACAAGGTAGGCTGAGAAGGTTCAACAAAACCCTTTCCAATAACAAGAAATGGAAAAAAAACTTCTAAAACAAGATAGACAGAGCATGTAAAACAGCAGAGAAACGTAAGAACAGAGGCAGGCACACAACAGCATCCCACATTTTTTAGCAGAATACGTCAAATTCTCATTAGTAAGTAACAAGAGCATCCTACTAAAACTGAGTATATCAAACCACAGCACTAACAACACTACAATCACTGAGACTGCATCACAAGATGAAGGCAATATAGGTCTGCTTAGCTAACAACTCAAAACTGAAGCAATGAACTAATCAAAACTAAAAACTGAAGCAACACTACTAACACTAGAATGACTGAGACTTCGCAATAAGATGAAGACAACAAAGTTCTGCTCAACTAACAATCTAATAACTCTATCCCTCCCAAACCACCACGTCGAAGTTATCAAACATTCCATCCATTACTAAAGATCCACACTTTTCAACTCAAAATCGAAGGAACACTAGAATCACTGAGACTACTGCACAATGATAACGACAAATATAGTTCTGCACAACCAGCAACGATCTAATAACTCTATTCCTCACAAACTTATCATACATTTCCATCCACCACCACAAACCAAAACCAAAAAAAAATCCACACTTTTTTCCAACGCACCTTATCTCCCTCAACCTCTGAAACAACTCAAGCTCATAAACATTATCATCATCAGCAAAGTAAACAACACCATCCAATCTATGCAACTCAATATGTTCCAAAGCAGTGTTCCTCTGATGAACACCTCTATCCTTAACCCTCGTCGTATTCCTTTTACAAACCAAGTGTCTATACATCACCCCAGTCTTCCTCAAAACCTCCGACGTCTCGAACGACGCCGCGTTCCCTTCCACCACTATCCACAACACCGGCGGCTCCACTAGCCTCAGCGTCTGCGCAACTCTGTTCAAGTAATACCCCTGCATCGCTCTATTATACGTCGGCGTCACAACGATTATCAGCTTCCTCGGCACAACATCCATCTCCTCCTCCTCCTTCGTTAATCTTACTCCGTCTACGTCTAGGGTTACCTCTTCTCGTTTTTGCAACGATTCTTCTCGTTTTTGCAACGATTGTTCGATGATTGGAGGTTTGAGCTCGAAATTGAAGCGATCGGTGGTGTTGTCATCGATTTGACCGTAAGGAGTCAAGCCTAAGAGGAATCCGATGAGGAAGAAAGCAAGGAATTGGAAGAACGGTCGACGCCACGGACCTCTGCGGGAGGTTTTGGGATCGGAGGAGTTGTGTTTGTTGGTGGAGGTTTTTTGAGAGGGGGATGACGTGGAGGAAGGGGAGAACGGTGCGGCTCCGTTCTCGTATTGACGATCGAGGTATACCGGCGAGTGAGTTCGCCGGATTGATGCCATTTCAGATTATGTTAAACATTTGAAAAAAAAAAGAGATTAATGGAGATTTTTTTGGGAGAGGAGAGTATTGATTTTGCGGGGAATTGAAGCGCGAGAGAGAGAGAGAGTCGGAGTTAGTAAAGGTTCGCCGATTTGGATCCGTCGCCGCCGAGATCTAAAAGAGGAGGGGAGAGAGAGAGGGGGAGACGCGGGTTCGTGGGACACGTGGCGAGATTATGGATCGGAGAGGAGGGATGAACACTCTGTTAAACAATTCAATTATTTGTTTTTTTTTTTCGTTTTTTTTTGTCATGTAGTTAAGTTACAGCAATTATTATGCGATGAACAACACTAATGGGTAAAATATAAAGCTTAAGATGACCTCATAAGATTGTGATTTAAGAATGGGTTGGATTATTAGGAATAGTTATGGAAACGTTTCTAGATTGTAGTATGAGAAAATTAGATGATGCAGTAAAAAAAAAACATAATTTTCAGCTGCAATTTGGATAATGCAGTCTTGTTGGTCTCTAGGTTAAAGTTAAAAAGTAATACGTCTATGTGTGGATTACTTAATAGTTATGGAAGAATGTCAAGTGTAAAAGGGTTATCAGAAATCATGGCGAAATGGCAAATTCTGTTTTCGTTCGGTATTATTTTCCCATACAAATCGAGCAGATTATATTTCTGCTGATCCATTAGCTAAAAGGACACTATTAAATCAATACAGTGGAATATGTTCCATTGTTGTCAAAATTTCCTTAAATCATTTATAATCCTTGAATATGAAATTTAAAGCAATTTAGCCTGAGGGAAAGTTACAACAGTCTATTAAAGTCGGGCTAATGGCAGGTTTTTTAGACTTTAAGTAAACTATCAATTCGATGTTGGTCAAATTTGTGGTACATATTAATGAAAAAGACATGTGAATTATTTTTTTTTTGGTAAATAAAAAGACATGTGAAGTTTCCAACTGATTTTCCATTTTATTATATAATTGTCATTTTGGGTTTTTATATCAAACATTTTTAAAAATCTGATTGATTAATACATTATATTATGTGAACCCGCTAATAACCATATAGTTAACACTGTATATGCAATGAAAATATATAACTACATTTAAATTTAAATTCTACAACAAACACACTTAATATGAATGAGAAATATAATTTTCTATGTTTTAGTTAGCTAAATAAATAAATATAAGGATGTGAGTATAACCTTTTTAAAAGAAAATATTTGAAGTATATTTATTTTACTTTGTGTTCTGCTTAATATTGATAATTAGAAATATTTTTTACTTCTAGCTGAATACAGCTAAAAGTCTAAACTATTTAAGGATCGTGTAGACTTGCTTATTTCACTTCTTGTTTTTGTTTATTTCCTCTTCTCTTACTTAAACTACTCTTAACTACACTAAAGGTTTCAAAGCTGTTCTCACAAAAATGAAATAAGTTTTTTGTGGAAGGATGTGTATTTCATAAAGGCACCATAATGAAATTGTAGAATCCATTGTATCAACTCAAATGTATGCAAGTCATCAAAGAGTGCACCTATCACCATTAAACCATATTTTGATAGAATCGTGCCTAACCATCAATAGTTGAGGTATTGCACGAAAGGTCCCACGAATTTTATCACCGGATTGATTGTCAAATGAGTACGAGTGCTGATTAGTTAAGTCTCCGGCCCAAATTCCGTTTCCCACCACCACGATTAAAGATATACTAGTGGATCCTTCAGGCTTTTGAAAAACCTATCACGTAGTCTCTTGCGATTGGTCACCACCATTTGAGCTTAGTAATTTGTTATTCTAGCTTCGAACACTACTCACTTTCTTTTTGATATGTCCTTATCTACCGATCATGTCTGCTCTTATCTTAAGTAATAAAAAACTTTATCTTGTATTCCTTGTTGTACGTTAAGTCTTGTATTTCTTCTTACACTTTGTATTCATGCTATATACTCTTTCGTCAAATAACATTTTCTCTTACTCTTTTTAATCTTAGGGCATTATTTCAGTTTATCTTGTTTCTTTTTGTCGGCATCTTGTTTAAAACCCACATTTTGTTTTGTAACGTTTATCTCTTTCATGTGTTCTTTGTATATAGATCATAAGCTTTAAATTTTACTCATTACTTTTAGTTTTAGATTGTTGAGTTTTACATTTATCTTTTGTTCTTTGGTTTTAATTAATCCTATGGTTTAGATTGTACTCATTACTAAAGCTTTGATTGTAAAGTTTTTATGTTAATCTTGTTTTCCTTTTTTTTTAAATTCTAAATGTGCTTTAGTTTAAGATAGCATCTTGTACGTATTTTAATCTCCTATGGGTCCGAGATGTTTGAGGGCTGACGCTGCAAGTCCAGACGGATTCCAACTATTACCACCACCACCACCTAACCTCTCCCATTCACATATCTTGCCTCTTACTTTCCCTTTCCACCATCTCTATAACTCTATCTCCCTCTCTCTCAAGACAAAACAAACAGAAAAAAAGTGGAAGATGCAAGAACTTCCAGATTGTTTGTACGAGGGAAAGCAACCAACCCTAATCACTCCTTCATCACCCACACCAAAACACTCTCTCTACCTTTCCAACCTCGATGACCATCATTTTCTCAGATTCTCTATCAAGTACCTATACCTTTTTGAAAAATCTACCTCCTCTCAAACCCTCAAAGATTCTCTGTCTAGGGTTTTAGTGGATTACTACCCACTCGCTGGCCGGATCAAAGTCTCTGATGGCAAGACCAAACTCGAGGTGGACTGTAATGGGGAAGGCGCGATTTTTGCTGAAGCCTTCATGGATATAACTTGTCAAGAGTTTCTTGAGCTTTCACTCAAGCCAAACAAGTCTTGGAGGAAGCTCTTGTTTAAGGTTCAAGCTCCTGGTTTCTTGGATATTCCTCCTCTTGTCATACAGGTTTTGTTTTCCTCCTTTAGCCGTGTTATTAGAAACTATGATTTCAAAAAATCATGCACAACTCAAATAGTTTCCGTATTTATTAGTTTTGATAGTTCATTATTTTGTAAAAAAATCGTTTTTGGATGGGCATACCATATAATTATTTTAGATGTCATAAAGTTAGTTGGATTGACTATTGAGTTAGAAAAATAAAAGAAAGTTTAGATATATATATATATTATCAAGAAAGAATCTAACAGATTAAATTGGTTGTATTTACTGACTCCTAAATTGATTCGGCCACTTTTATTCTTTTCATATAAGAAATGCATTCTTTTTAGGTCGTGCATTATGCATTTGATGTGTGAATGATATAAAGTCTTTTCCTACCACATTTCTCCTTAATATACGTGAACTTTAATAAAGAGATTTGTTAAATGTCAAAAAACAAAGCAATAAAAATTTAGAAAAGAGAATAATCTTGTCTTCTCATGGTAATTGGTTCTTTTCTAGGTTAGAAGAAAAACAAAAACACCTTTTATTGCCTTGAATTAGTTTTGGTTACAAGTCAATTTCCTTAACTCATGCTATATAAAGTTTAAATTCATCGGCAAGTGAATGTGAACACCAACGTTTAAGTGCTATAGAAATAAATAAAAAATTTAAGCATAGAAACCTTATGGATTTTATGATTAATGATTCAGGTGACGCAACTTCGTTGCGGGGGTATGATCCTATGCACGGCGATCAACCATTGCCTTTGTGATGGCATCGGCACATCGCAGTTCCTACATGCATGGGCCCATGCAAATACCACCAAAGCTCCTCTTCTCATCCAACCACTCCACTCTCGACACATGTTAGACCCACGAGATCCACCTCGTGTCACACACTCCCACCCCGGTTTCACCCGAACCACCATAGACAAAACCTCCTCCACCTTTAACATTAGCAAATATTTACAGTCCCAACCACTGGCTCCCACCACCCTAACCTTCACACAACCCCTAATTCTAACGTTAAAGAAAACATGCGTTCCCTCGCTAAAATGCACCACATTCGAGGCACTAGCTGCTCACACGTGGTGCTCATGGGCTCGATCTCTTGACTTACCGTTGACCATGCAGGTCAAACTCTTATTCTCTGTCAATATTAGGAAAAAGATGATCCCTGAACTTGCTCAAGGGTATTATGGTAACGGGTTCGTGCTGGCTTGTGCGGAGAGCAAGGTTCAAGACCTAGTCAATGGTAATATTTACCACGCGGTAAAACTAGTACAAGAGGCCAAAGAGAGAATCACCGACGCATATGTAAGATCAACGATAGATTTACTGGAAGATAAAGCAGTAAAAACGGACGTGTCATCCACTTTGGTTATCTCGCAATGGGCGAAGTTGGGACTAGAGGAGTTGGACTTTGGAGGAGGAAAGCCAATGTATATGGGTTCTTTGACGAGTGACATTTACTGTTTATTTTTACCGGTGGCAGGAAACTGTGATGCCATTAGGGTTCAGGTGTCGTTGCCGGAGGATGTTGTGAAGAAGCTAGAGTATTACATGGTTAAGCTTTTAGATGCAAAAGATAAGGAAGAAGACAATTCTTTTGCACAATAAAGTTTTACAAGAAAAAAATAATTAATTTCAGTTATCTATCTCTATAAAGTAAGTCATGAGAGGAAAATAAAAACATTAATCAAGTGGATTCGATGAGAAAGAAAAGGTCGTTCACGTGTCGGTTTTCAAGTGATCTAAGTTTTTCTTTGTTCATTGAAATTGTACTCTATATATAATCTCTTGTCTGTAGAAGATGAAACCACATTATTAAAAGAGTTTTCAAAACCATGTTAGTGATATTTCTATGAGTTAAGAGTGCCCGCCACCCGACTTCGAACCCCGGCCACCACATAATTTACATGCGGAGTTGGTGTGGCGCCCCAGACCACTTAGCGTAACCAGGGGCCCTTAAGTGGACGCTTAAAAATCCTGTCATGGCATGGGCTTAGGCCCGGTGGGCTAGTCGATCACGCTTTGTGGTCGGATACTGGATTATCAAAAAAAAAAAAAAAAAAAGAGTGAATGTCCAATAAAATTTAATCAATTTTTGAATTAAAAATATTGAAAATCAACAAGTCTAAACTGCAAGGAAGCGTCAAAAACAATGTTTAAACAAACGTCATTAATGATTTGTCTGTTTCTAGTTTGTAGGTATCAAACGGACTTATAGTTCGGGTTCTCGTGAATTTCTGGCTTATGTCTCTAGTGACCCTATGTATCTTCTGGTTCGTATTCCTGAGCTATAACTTGTGAAGCACCATCTTTAAACGCCTAACCATGTATAAGAGTTTAATAGCATCAAACATTTTAATGTAGAAAGTTATGGGCATACATTTTTTATGATTCCCCCCATTTTTTTAGGATTTACATTGGATATTGGTATGTTTTATGTTACTTATTCCTTTAAGAAAGAGTTGTATGTTGCTTTCAGTAAATAAATAAACCGTCGTTCGTGATCAAGAGCGACTTGCAGAGAGTGAAGTAAGATTTAAGGGTGATTATTGGCACAGGATTTCTTAGAAAGTTTGAAAAATGTGAGATTCCTTTAACTATAATAATTTAAAAATTTACAAAATAAATGTGAGGTCCAACCTAATGTTTCTGTTTTAGTAAGATAGATCAACATTACCTATAAATTAAAATGAGATATATCTATAGAACAGTAAACCGGTTGATTTCCATTTTTCCAATAAAGTTGTAAGACTTACATAGAACATGAAAATATATCAATAAGAAGCATAATAGTATAAATTGAAAAGATATTTAAAAAATCATCACACGAGTAAACTATAACATCAATACAAAACATAAGCATAAACTTAATAGTTAGAACTCAAATACATTTAGAAATATGAATACCATATCACCCACTTAGACTAAAATATGATAACCACCCAGTCTTGGATGAAAAAATCTTATCCACCTTCCTTCTCATTTTAGCTTCATCAATTCCTTCTTCACGTACGATAAGTATGACGTTTCCTAATGATACGACATCACTAATTCCTAAAAAAAAAAAAATTCATTTAGGATGCATTGTTTGGCTCGAACATAACTAATAGGTAATGTTAGTGTATCTTTACCTTGAAAATTATTGATATAGTCTAAAGCTTTCTTTATGGCTTTTCCACTGGTGACTCGATGTAGGATTATTATTTCTTCCTGCAAATAATGATTAACATAAAATTGTGAAAAACTATTTATATAATCAATAAAGGATTTTGAAAGTGTAAAATTATGTGCATATGATTTCGCAAAAGTAACTAACCATTTTTTGAAAATTGTAGAGTTGAGATTTGAATAACGGATATTGATTACATAGATACTCTTAATGAACTAAAGATATTAAATAAATTTGATATTAATAATGTATTTCATTTTTTCATAATAAGATTTTACTTATTTTTTTAATATAAGTTTACTTATTTAAAATATATAAATAAAAAAGGAAATAATTATGAAATATAAATCTTTATATATAAACGAAATTTAATATTTTCAAAAATTTTCCTAAAATAACAGATTTAGTGTTTATTTAATTGATATTAATAATATATTTCCTTTTTCATAATAAGATTTTACTAATTTTTTTTAATATAAGCTTACGTTTTTAAAACAAATAAATAAAAAAGAAAATATTTATAAAATATAAATCTTTATATATAAACGAAATTTAATATTTTTCGAATTTTTCCTAAAATAACATGTTTAGTGTTTAATTAAGAGATATTAAAAAGGAAAGTAAAAATATTTTTTTTTAAATAAATATTCTGATCAAATAATTTCAAAATCCTTTTAAACTAGCGTAGCACTATACACTATTAATTAAATGGAAATATAATACTTTATCATTATTAAAATTATTTTTAATATTTATTTTGCTTTTTAATTTTATGTTTGTGGAACTTAATATATAAATAATCAAAATACTCAAGTAAATCTAAGTTCTCATTTTAAGATTGTTTAACATACATTTCAAATTACCTTTTAAGAGATGTAAGGCATAAAATAATTTAGAATTTCTAAATATTTAATTATTGTAAATATTAATATGTGCTCATGAAACTTCAGAAGTTTATCTCTTTACTCATATTTATGTATGTAAATTCCTATTGATCGTCACTTTATTTTTTTAATATTTCTTAAAAATCAACATATATTCAATTATTAAAAATATTATGAAAATACTTGCATTAATCGATAAATAAACCTAATTTTATTTGATTGAATTAGTACAAAAATAATTATATTTTCATTTTAATTAGCAAATATATATATAACTCAATATACTCACAAAACGAGTAACGAAAGAATCTAACTTATATCCAAAATAAAAGATCTAACTACAACAAGAACATTTAATTTTAAAATAATTATTTATTTATTTTTATACGTATAGATTACAGGATGACTCAAAAATATCAATATATAAAAATAAATTATTAGCCAAATGTTATAATTCAGTTTTTTTTTTTTGTAAAATTTATATATATGAATGAGACTTCAGAATATTATCGCTATATTCATTTATGTAATTTTGAATCAAAATTTCAGTTTATTTTAAATTTCATTATAAGCATAATATATATTAAATTATACCTAATCTTAATAAAATATATTTACATATATAAGATGATAACCAATCTAAATGCAATAATAATCAAAGTTTTAGTATATTTAGAAGAAAAATTATTATAGTTTAATTTAGAAAAATAGATGCAATCTAAAATACAAAAGTGTAACCAAATCCACTATTGACCAAAAACAACAACCAAACTGATTAAATATAACATCTCCAAAATCGTATGTATGATTAAAATAATATAATATAAGTTATACATATAAATTATAAACTAATTTATACTTAAAAGTAAATATCTATCTAAATTAATAAATTAGAATATACCACAATATATTACCTTAATATATTTACTTGATAAATATTCATACCCGTGTGGCCGTGCATGAGCACAGAAAATTACCTAGTTCCTTTGGAATTGGTAATCCTAAAACTTTAGTGTTATTGGAAGATGTTTTTTTTTTTAGATTTTTATTATGAGATACAACTTTCAAAATACAATGTACATCAATAAGATTTTCAGTATCTAAGTAATATTTTTTTTAAAAAAAAATTAGTATTGTTAAAATTATATAATTCATCACATTTTATATTTTTCTTACCTTTTTCATTGTATATTTTTTCTTTAATGATGTTTTCATGATTAAATAAGAAAATAAAATAACATAAAAATTTCTAGACAAAGATAGTATAGTTAACTTAAAATTATTGATATATAGTATTATATATTCATCTTATCATATTAAACATAAATACATATGTATCATTATTATTATTAACAGATATTTTTTATATAAAAAGGAAAAAAAATATTTATTAGAAGAAAATATTGTTGGAAAATCCTTAGAATAACATACATCAATATATTTACACTACAAAAAGAATGATAGAAATTAGAGGTGACATAATCCATAATAATCTGTAATAATATAAAAATGTATGATAGAATTTTACATAATCCACATAACTTAAAAAGTCTATCAGCATTTAAACTTCTCAAATTGTATGCAAATCAATCTTCCAAGTTCCGATAACCTCCATAAAGTCAACATTTACACTCTCTGAATTGCGAATCATAAATCCAAGCCCAATATCCATTATCCATTATATATTTAAAAGTCTGGCCCATATGCGTTTTGAAACACCGATATTTTTATATTGACTCTTTTTTTAGGTATGAAATCGCTTCATTCACCGCATCATAAGATATTTTTTCTGGAATTAAAGAACAAAAAAAGCAGCAGAGAAAATTCAAGTTTCAGAAAAAGTTGTTTCCTCACCAAACAAAACAAACGTTTGGGTTAGTGAAATCTCAAATCTATCATCTTACCCGATTTTAGTTTTATCAAATCGATTATGATTTTGATTCCTGTCTTTTGAATCAATTCCAAAGATGTTGCTTTTATTTCTTCTTTCCTGAATCTTAATCGAATCTGTTTGAATGTTTTGTCTAAACATATGTTGCTGTAATATTTGAAAGCTGGAATGAGATTTTTTTTGTCGTATTATGTTCCAAACAAAAAAAAAAAAGAAGATTTTGTTATTTTAGTTGTTAACGATTGTACTTGCTATTTGCAGATACTCCTTACCTTAATCTACAGCTGAAAGGCTTTGTCTTGTCTATTGAAAGGTTGAAGCTTTTTTTGTGGGTAATAATGGGAGAGGAGCAGCATCCGAGGAAGCGATCTCGTCAACATTTTGAAGCAGAGGAGGCCAGACACTTATCTTTAACAAAGTCTCCTCAATGCGAAACAGCTAAATGGTATTTCAGCAAGGAGGAGATTGAGCGTTTCTCTCCATCTAGAAAAGATGGGATAGATCTGGCTAAGGAGTCGTTTCTACGCTCTTCTTATTGCACATTCCTTCAAAGACTTGGCATGAAGCTTCATGTGTAAGCTGCTCACTATTAGTATTCTTGTAGCAAGTTTGTGTTGTTTGTTCTGTGGTTGTTTGTTACATTAGAATATGCTCTAATTCTTGTTCTTGTCTTCTGATATGCTATTTCTAGCTAAAAGAGGGTGCGTTATGCATGTCAATGGCTAGCCTAACTGTTGAGTTTTGTCGTAGGGGCCACTGTGGGAGGTGGTCTGGAGGTTCTCCATCTATAAGTTAGTTTACATTCTTATCTCATGAATGGATAATTATGTAATACTAGTCAAAAAATTTGGTGTCATGAATTGGATCACTTCACATCGGCAAAATAGGAGGCTTTGCATCTGTCATGAACTTGCTTTGGGAGCTGTTCACCTGTTTAGACATGCCTTTCTGATATATGTGTCTTGTCATCTTGTGTTACTTTGTAATTATGCTGGGTTATCAAAACCCTGAGCTGAACCTACATGTTGTTAGTTTTCTGACCAAGTGCACGTGTCTCTCCGGCCCACTATTTTTGAATCATCGATCATAGGTACTGGTGTTTTTTTCATTGTTATCAATCGGTGTAAGCTATGTGTAGCTTCTAGTTGCTAAAGATAATTATAGTATTAAATTTGTTGGTGATATGGTTTTTGGTGCTATTGAAGGTTTTTCTGACAATCTCATTGCTTCAGGTCCCAAGTTATAATAGGATGTGCAATGGTGATGTGCCACCGGTTTTACATGCGCCAATCTCATGCCAAAAATGACTGGCAGGTAAACAATACTTTTGTATTCATATGGTTCACTAATTGCATTCAACAATCTGTAACAGAGAAATTGAAATTCCAACTGTCAATTTGGTGATTTTGCAGACGATAGCAACTTCCAGTCTCTTCCTCGCTTGCAAAGCTGAAGATGAGCCGTGTCAACTGTCCAGTGTTGTTGTTGCGTCATATGAAATAATCTATGAATGGGATCCTTCTGCCTCAATGAGAATCCATCAAACTGTAAGTATATATACATTCAACTATTGGTGATATCTTACTGAGCATTGTACTCGTTACACTGTCTGTAGGAATATTACCATGAATTTAAAGAATTGATTTTGGCTGGGGAGAGGCTTCTGCTGGACACGAGTGCTTTCGAGCTTCTAGACGTCGAGCTTCCGTACAAACCTCTGGCTGCAGCTTTGAATAGGGTGAACGCTTGGCCTGACCTTGCTACAGCTTCATGGAATTTTGTGCATGACTGGTAAAGACCCTTGTTAGTAAATATAGTATCTACACTTTTGTTGCCATATCAAGTTTGAATAATCTTGTAATGCATTTGTGTGCAGGCTTCGAACTACACTGTGCTTGCAGTACAAACCTCATGTTATTGCAACTGCTACTGTGCACCTAGCTTCCACGTTTCAGAACGCTAAAGTAGGAAGCAGGAGAGATTGGTGGTTGGATTTTGGAGTGACAACTAAGCTTTTAAAAGGTTTGTTGCTCAAACACTTTCTATATGGTTTTAGCGGTTGATTAAATTAACTGGATGTTTTTCATCAATGGTTGCAGAGGTGATCCAGGAGATGTGCATGCTCATAGAAGTAGACAGAAGGAGGACAATGCCCCCGCCGCTTCCTCCAAGAAGAGAGTTAGTAGCCTGGGCAATGCCTGCACCCTTAAAGCCTCCGGTTCATATGGCTAGAGGCTATCCGTTTCACAGCTACCCTTTGCAGCCGTATAGACAGCCTGGAATTTGGTGAGCCATTGTTCAGGAACTTGAATTTGGTCGAAAGACAAAAGAAGATTATGTGGAGGCGCATGAGAGAGACAGTGTAAGGTTATATAGCAATCGGAGTGAGGTTTTTATGTGGCTAAATTAAGGCTCTCTGGTGTGACTATCTTTCACCAGAGTGATTCTCTCTCAAGATTCTTCTCGTTTGTTTCTGTTACATAGAGATTATGTAGGAGTTGTTGGTTATATACAATGCCCACTCCCTTTCTTATATTTCTAGCATATCAGTGTACATCTTGAATCTATCTATATATGGGGTTACTCCAAATTGCTTTTTACTTGTTTTCTCATTGCTAAGTAGTTTGGGTGCCATTAGCTTCTATGTATGAATCATCATCTCTGCAATTCTACAGGAATCTGTGATCCTTTTTAAGCAGTTGTATATAAAACACTCTTTTTTTTTGGACAGCGAAAGTTGCGATGATTATTCAGTTTTATTGTAGACATGGAAGCACAAAGAAAACATTTAACATCCATCCAGACAAAAGAAGAAAAGGTTGCATTACATCACAAGCTAAAAGCACAAAAGAGCATATGTCTTATCCTCATCTCGAGCTCTTCCTCATCATCCACGTCCTCTGTTTCCACTTGTGTTTCTTGTGCTTTCTTCCTCTGCTCCTCAGCTAAGAGAGACATGTAAGTTGCGGGAGAGAAGCCAACCATGATGGGTGGTTCGTCTGGCAAAACCTCGGTAACTACAATGTTGAATCCTCCCACAGAACTTAGCGTAAGTTCATAAGTTTGTATAATTTCATATATCAAAATAATTTTATAATTAAATATAAAATACAATAAATAAATAAATAATTTTGCTAATGTTTTATGGCCTTTTTGCATAATTGACCTGAAACTTGAAGTCAACCACAAAACTAACCTCCTTTTTTTTGGAACTTTATTTTGTCCAATTCACCCCACAAGTTCATATAATTCACGAAAATGCCATCAATTTGTTTTTGTTTTTTTCTTTTCGAAAATAACATATTTACTCTCTCACCCTCATCATCTTCAAGTAATTACAAGATTGCCATTGTCATCAATACTCCAACAACCATGAACAACCAATTTTGAAGCTCTTAACGCCTCCAAATTCCATTTACACTTCTTCTTTTTCTATTCTCATGAACTAAACAATACATTACAACACATATCTCTCACTTTCTCTCCACAATGAGCTAAAAAAAAACAAGATTTTGATTCTACATTTTTTAGGGTTCATATAGTCAAAGAAATTAAAGATTCAGGGTGGATTACCTTCGTTTGAGATCCTTAGTGCTTGATTCTACCTTTTTTAGGGTTCATATAGTCAAAGAAAGTGGTCTCACCAATTTAAGGTATGAGATCGAGTTTTTTTTCCAGATCTGTTCGTCCAGACGACTGAAATTTCAGTCGTCTGGATATGATTAAATATTGAAGTTTTTTTCGCAATTGCAAAACTAACCTACGACGACTGAAATGTAAGTCGTCGAATTTCAATAAAATATTAATATTTCATTTTTCTTCAGACGACTGAAATGTAAGTCGTCCTGAAAAGTCAAACTTCTGAAATTTTCTAGTCAAATACAAAACTAACCTACGACGACTGAAATTTCAGTCGTCTGTGTTTTTTGGAGATTTATTTTATCAAGCTAATCCAGACGACTGATATTTCANAAATGTAAGTCGTCGAATTTCAATAAAATATTAATATTTCATTTTTCTTCAGACGACTGAAATGTAAGTCGTCCTGAAAAGTCAAACTTCTGAAATTTTCTAGTCAAATACAAAACTAACCTACGACGACTGAAATTTCAGTCGTCTGTGTTTTTTGGAGATTTATTTTATCAAGCTAATCCAGACGACTGATATTTCAGTCGTCCCAATTAACAGATTTCAAAGTCAATTGCAAAACTAACCTCTGCGTTGACCAGACGACTGAATGTTTAGTCGTCTGGATGACTTAGATTTCAGTCGTCTGCTTCTATTTTTAATAAAATTTTGTTTTCTTGGTTTTATGTTTGCTAATGTGTTTTATTTTTACTATTTCAGATGCCGCATCAGTTACGTGCTGTGTATGGAGAATGGTTGTTGAAATTTTGTCGTTGATCGTTTCAAATGAGCGAGGATGTTATTTTGAGTGAAGGTTTGATACATGCTGATCTTGTTTCAAAGGAGCGAGGATGTTATTTTTGAGTGAAGATTCGTCACATGATGATCTTGTTTCAAAGGAGAGAGGATGTTATTTATGTATTATGTACTTCTCTTTAGACGACCTTCATTTCATTCGTCCAGACGACCTTAATTTCAGTCGTCCAGACAACCTTAATTTCAGTCGTCCAGACGACCTTAATTTCAGTCGTCCAGACGACCTTATAGTTAGTCGTCTCTCGGGTTAAATAAAAATTTGAAAAGACAAGTCATGCATTACATTACATTATCCGAACCACAAGTCATACATTACTAAATTTGACTAAGTTTTTCAACACAAACTTGTAAAACATGTAATATGTTTTAACACCAATGATGATTTGTTGGAAGAAGGGTTTGATGTTGAAGTCTATTATTTCATTGATTTGTAAATGTGTAAACACATTGTTATCACATATATTACATCTTGGGAAACAATATTACTGATTTTACAAAAAAAATCACAATTAAAAGAGTATACATGTAAATCACAAAACATACCACAAACTAAACTATAATAGATCATTCCTCTACAAAGATAAGTTTGGACTCCACTTGATATGAAACAAGACAGCTTCAGAAAACTTTCAGGAAGTCCAGACAACTTTCAGACGACTTACAGGAAGTCCAGACGACTTACAGGAAGTCCGGACAACTTCCAGGAAGTCCGGACAACTTCTAGGAAGTTCAGACAACTTCCAGACGACTAACAAGTAAGTCATCCAAGACGACTAACAAGTTAGTCGTCCAGACGACTAACAGGTAAGTCGTCCTGACGACTAACAGGTAAGTCGTCCTGACGACTAACAGGTAAGTCGTCCAGACGACTAACATGTAAGTCGTCCCAGAAGTCTTCAAGATCTGAAAAACCTGCATATCAAGCCCAGATCTGAAAAATCTGCATATCAAAAAACATTCAAATGACTTAAAACACACATAAAATGAGTGGAAGATTAGATATATATATATATATATATATACTTTTATAGAACACACAACATACATATCAAAATGAAGATCCATATGATTAAAAACCTGCAAGAAAAAGATAGATTAGTGAGAAAAACATGAGCCAAAACTGAAAAATTCATATAAATTTTGGTGTTTTCAAGTCAAAAAATTACCAAATGAAGAAAACATAAATAATAAGTGAAACATTAGATAAATATATCTTTAAATGAGTGGGATATGGGAACCATGTGATGAAAAACCTGCAAAAACAAGAAAATTAGTGAGAAAGACATGAGACAAAAATAATAAATTGATATAAAGTTTGGTGTTTATAAGTTCAAAGAGATTATAGAGAGGTTTGAGAGTTCTAGAAAAATGAACATTACATTTTTATTGCAGACATTCGAGAGGAAGAGTGAGAATGTGTAAATTTTTCTTTATATAGGGAGACAAAAAACCAATTAGGTTAAATGTTTTCGATTTCAGACGACTGAAATTTCAGTCGTCCACGAGACTTTAATAATTTTAGAGGGAAACTAAAATATTTCTTAAATTTTAGGCGGGAATATTAAGACGACTGAAATTTCAGTCGTCTGGTAAATAATTTGAAACAGACGACTGAAATTTCAGTCGTCCAGACAACTAACATTTCAGTCGTCCAGACAACTAACATTTCAGTCGTCCAGACAACTAACATTTCAGTCGTCCAGACAACTAACATTTCAGTCGTCCAGACAACAAACATTTCAGTCGCCCATGAGACTTTAATAATTTTAGCGGGAAAGTAAAATATTTCTTAAATTTTAGGCGGCAATACTACGACGACTAAAATTTCAGTCGTCTGGTAAATAATTTAAAGCAGACGACTGAAATTTCAGTCGTCGAAACCCTAAACATAACCCCTGATATTCATTCTCTAATTAAACACTTCAAAAACTTAAATTAAACTTAAAAATGTTTAGTATACACATAAATAAACACATAGAGGCCAAATTAAATTTTTGAAAAAAACATTTCAGCTTTTCAAAATCTAACCCTAAGATTACATACAATGCTACAACATATGTTTGTCAAACCCTTAGACCAAAGAATATCATGATTCACTACTTCCACTCATCTATGATGAAAATAAATCAATTTTATCATTTCTNAAAATGTTTAGTATACACATAAATAAACACATAGAGGCCAAATTAAATTTTTGAAAAAAACATTTCAGCTTTTCAAAATCTAACCCTAAGATTACATACAATGCTACAACATATGTTTGTCAAACCCTTAGACCAAAGAATATCATGATTCACTACTTCCACTCATCTATGATGAAAATAAATCAATTTTATCATTTCTTAATTTATATCACTTTAAAATTTTTATAATTACAAGTTTTTAATTTTTCACTCATCAAAATATTTTTTACAAAATTTATAAATTATTATTAAGATTCAGTCGTCCAGACAACTTTAATTTCAGTCGTCCAAACGACCGAAAACTAGATCAGTCTGACTCAGACAACTTACAGGGGCTAAATTCGTAAAAATGTCTTCTGTTTTTTTCTTTGGTCACAAAGGACTATACTGTAATTTCATAGCCCTTTTAGGTTAGATTTACATTTGATTCAAGTTTGGGTCTAGTATTGGGGTTTAAATCAAGTCGTAGGTTAGTTTTGGCAAAAATCCCATGTTTTATCTTCGATTAAACCCCTAATAATCCATCCAATTGCTAGGATTATACAAGATGTGTAGTTATCGTTTATTGATTTTGCTGAACATTGATTATACCATTCATGTAAAGAAGCCAATAACATTTTCATGCTAGTAGTAGCTCTGGAGAGGTAAAAAAAATTGGAAAGAACAAAAAAAGTGCGGTAAAAGAGGAAAAAAAGAAGAAAGTAAAAACCCCGATTTCTAGTTTCCATTATCTTCATATATGGGCCGAGCCCTAGGGCCCTTTACTATTCCTAAACTAGCCTTCATCAAAACGAATCCTCGATCACCCTCTCTGTCTCTCTCTCAGCTCGCGAACAAACAAAAAAAACAAACCCTAAAATCATCAAATCTGACGGAGACGGCCTCTCTCGATCATCAAATTCTCCCACAGATCCCTCAATCTCCGTAACCTTTCCTTCTCTTTCTTCGATTTACTCGTCTCTTTCTTCGATTTACTCGTCTCTTTCGTTTATTAGCTCCTTCGTACGATTTTAATTTCTCCGTTCTCTGCTTTTCTCTAGATTTTGCTTTTCTTTTGATCTTTAATCGTTAGATTATTGTAAACTCACAGGTGGAATCAACTCTCTTATTACCATGGCTGAGCATTTAGCTTCAATCTACGGCACGGAGAAAGACAGAGTAAACTGCCCATTCTACTTCAAGATGGGCGCGTGCCGTCACGGAGACCGTTGCTCACGCATCCACAACCGTCCCACCATCTCCCCAACCCTCCTCCTCTCCAACATGTACCAAAGACCCGACATGATCACCCCCGGCGTCGACCCTCAGGGCCTCCCACTCGACCCGCGCAAGATCCAAGAACACTTCGAGAATTTCTTCGAGGACCTCTACGAGGAATTAGGGAAATTCGGGGAGATCGAGAGTCTCAACATCTGCGACAACCTCGCTGACCACATGATTGGGAATGTGTATGTTCAGTTTAAAGAAGAGGACGAGGCTGCAGCTGCTTTGCAGGCCTTGCAAGGTAGGTTTTACGAGGGGCGGCCGATCATCGCGGAGTTTTCGCCTGTGACGGATTTTAGGGAGGCGACGTGTAGGCAGTATGAGGAGAGTAACTGTGGGCGCGGTGGGTATTGTAATTTTATGCATGTGAAGCTTGTTTCGAAGGAGTTGAGGAGGAGGCTGTTTGGGAGGAGGTCGTACCGAAGAGGGAGTAGGAGTAGGAGTAGGAGTGTGAGTCCTAGGCGTGGGAGAGAGTATGATGACCGGCGTGATCGTGATCATCCTCGTCATAGGGATAGAGATGGGGAGTTTTACCGGCGTGGGAGTGGGAAGAGAAGTAGTGAGAGGAGGGAGGAGAGAGGGGATAGGAGGAGACATGGAAGCTCGCCTAACCGAGGAGGGAGGGAAGGAAGTGAGGAGAGGAGGGCGAGGATTGAGCAGTGGAACAGAGAACGGGAAGAGGGAGGAGCTTAAGAAGAAGAAAAACTTTATGTTTAAACTTGAATGATAACTGTTGCAATGTGGTGGATTTTTCTGTATGCTTTCTCTGAATCATTTGGTTGTTCTGATTGGGAAACTTCGTTTAGATTACAAAAAAATGCTGGGGTTGGTTTCTTGTTGTTTTCATTCGGAAAAATGTTGTCCCCTTGTTATTGATTTAGTTTCCTTTTTACATTCTCCTTTCTCCATCAACTCTTAATTCTTGGGCTTAAGTAACGAGTTTAGGTGATTATACATAGCCATGGTTCACTACATTTAACTACATGCCATAGACTTACGTTGGTGACCCTTGTGGATTGATTGATCATATGCCTCAGAAAGGCCAGCTCATGTCTTTAGGCCAAATTCAAAAACTTCTTATTCAATTTACAAATACAATTTTGCTAAAAGGCCATAAAAATTACAAGATTATGATTCAAACCGAGCTGTTTTAAGATGCAAGTGTTGGGCTAAACCACAACAATCTCCTTATAATTAATGTTCTTAAGAGAAAGTTAGTACCTAAATCACTAGCTTGACGTTAGGCATGTGTGTGTCTCGATTCTCTCTGTTTTTACAGTGTATGCATAGCGTTTGTATTAGATTGATGTGGACAAAGAACGTTGTCTCACTGATCTCTAAGCATGTGCCAAATAATTATCGATTGAACTGATAATAATAATAAAGTTTATTTTCTTCGTAGCTCATCAAATATTTTGTAAATTTGCAAAAACTGCTATTTGAAATAACTAGTATTTTTCAAGTAATTTAATTCTTATATAAAGAAACCACGATTAATCAACAATAATTCATTAATTCTTCACTCAAATATCGACAAGGTCACCACCAACCCGGTCTGCTCGTCCGACCAGCCACCAAACCATCGCCGTCGACGGTGTCATTTACTTTACAGGATACGTATTACTTTTCAAGTATCAAACAAAACAAACAAAAAGTCGTTTATTCTTACCTTTTATTGACTGGATACACATAACATATTGTCTACTTAATTTTTTAATCACATGAATAATCAATCATGTAGATAAGCAGACATATTGATTGACCACGTGGAGAAAGTCTTTGCCGTCTTCGTTTTATAATAGTAATACACCCATACGAAGCTTTATCAACTTTTCAAGAGTTTTTTACATCATATACAAACAAATATCGGGAATAAGAATTTTCCCGCTGTTCTATGATTAAAGGTTGCATCAAGACAATGGTCGACTTAAAATCAAGTCTCGGTTACTAACCAACATTAAAGAAGAGTGCATCTTCAAGAACAGGAGTTCGAGTGCCATAAAAACCTTGCATTACCAATAAATAATGCTAAACGTTTCTCTATACAAATAGTTTTATCCTCTTTAGTAATTTGAAAACTTACTTGAAATTGAAAGTTTTTGTACACAAGCAAAATAAATAGAACATAATAAAAGATGGACTACTGAACACCGTAAGAACATTTATAATGGAGGATTCTTACGGTGGGATTCTTAGCAGAACATAAGAATCCTTCTCTTAACTTTTAATTAAAAAAAGCTAAAAACCGGTTTTTAAGTAAAGAACCTCTTATTGGAGATGATTTTCTAGTTACATTCCATGTATATAGCTCAAGTACAACACATGCGCATGTCTCGTTGCGTTTCTCTATAATATAAAGTGAAACTATAATGAAACTGAAATAAAATGAATAATATTTTGTGGTTGGAAAGAAATTAGAAAAATATAAATATGATGAAGAGAAGGGATGGGGAAAATTTGTTGGACGGAGATGCCCTAAAATTGAGAAAGCATATATTCCCCTGCTCTAAAGCCTTTGTCCTCTTCTTAGACAACTTTAAGATAAATAAACATGCTTTAACATGCTTTTTAAGAACCCTCCTTTTAAGAACTTTGTTCTCTACTTTATCTTATTTGACCCCAAAAAAGAAAAGGTTATATATCTTTTTTTTTCTAACATGATAATGTATATGATTTGATCAGAGACGACCATCTTTAATATCCGTTGAAATCTATCAATCATTAACCATCGTCACTGCACAGCCTTGTATTATGATAACTCTGATTTCTGAAATCCTTGTATAGCTTTCTTTCCCTAACAAAGTATGTAAATACAAGTCTGCGTTTGTGAGTTTGGATGTATTTAATTTGATGTACACGTTTATAGAGAAGTAACAATTTGTTAGGGTTTGGGTGGCAAAGATGCCTCAAGGTCTAGCACGCTGATCCTCCCTTTCTTATAGTGTTTCTGTCACATTACCTCGATACATGTCATTCATTCATTCCTGGTTTGTTCACAAATTCGCCTGTTTTGGTGTCTTTTATGCTTTAGGAGGTGGTTGGCTCATATCAAAATAAACAGTCTATGTATTAAAACCTATATAATTTAAAAATTGATTATATCTTTTACGTATAATTTTATACTGGTCTAACAATACATTGACTCACTAGATCATTATTTTAATCTGTAAATCATAATTACATTCATACCCAGAAAACCAGTGTGGTATATTTATAAAGTACCAAAAGATATACAAACCTTTTGATATGCAAGATATGTTAATATTGATTTAATATCTCTGGCAATTAGAAGCCATCATCTTTACTTTTTAGTTACCGGCTAAGTTCTAAACTATCATAAGTTGGATCATAAAAGTATCTCCAACTCACCTTTATATATGTCTCTATATTCTATAATAGAATAAAATCTACTATAACCCATCTCTATTTTTCCCCATATAATAGAAATTACTGTATTTTCTTCTATATTTAGGAAAAATAGCATTCCTCTATAATAGATGCATATTTTTATCTACATAATAATCTTTTAATTTCTTATGATTATAATTAAAATACATATTTATGAAGAAATACAATATTTTTACATATAAACACACAACTTCTTTTCTTTTTGTTTACAAAATAATTCTTCTTTTATTTAAGTTTTAAAATAAAATAAATATATAATATTATTAACTTTTTTGAAAGTCTAACTTTCTAAATAAAAAATAATATTTATATTTTATTTTCAAAACTAAAATTATTAATTATAATTTAATTATTAAAAAATCTTCATAGATTTTACATATTCATAAACATATTTAATTTGAACTTAAATATTAATTAATACAACATATTGAAACAACTTATACTCCGGTAACATAACATATTAGAACGTTCATTCGGAGTTTTACGATTACGTTTTGCTACTGTAAAATTAACGGTACGTTTTTGGAAATAAGTATAACATGATATAATGATTATATGTATAATTTTACATAATATGATCATTGAGGATTAGGGTGATCTTGATGCATAGACTAGAATTTGAAGAGAAACTCTACCTCTAGAAGTCTAAATACCAAATGATGAAGATAACCGGTTCCAAGAATTTTTAGATCGATTCAAAAAAATCAAAGATAAAGAAACTCATTTTCATTTTGGATGCATTGATTATAGGAAAAGTATACTAGTAACAATGGTTAGACAATGTCTGCTTTGTTTTATTATTTATGTTTTTTTGTAACATTTTATTATTTATGTTTAAATGTCATTTTTTCAACATGTCTAATGTCTTTGTGTAATAGAATGTTTAACTTCAAATAGTAATGTATTTTTATGAAATAAAAATATTATGAATGGGTTAATTTTCAACATTTATAAGTTAAAGGTGTTAATTGCAAAATAAAATATAAAAATTTAAGAATATTTTTTTAAGAGACAAATTAAAGAATATATTAGAGAGAAGCTCACATCTATTATAGAGTTTATCTATTATAATAGAAACAATAGAGATAATTTGGAGATGGTCTAAATAAAATATAAGATTTGATTCATTCTGAACTAGAACAATGACGGGGTTTTCTCATATTTTTTTTTGTATTGATAAAATGGTTTTTCTTATATGATGTTCTCCCTATATATGTAACAAATGTTAAAATGTGCATGGGAAAATATATGGTTACGTTAATTAATTAGTAGTTACAATATAAAAGGTGTGATTAAGTTAAATATTAGTATATCACCATCAAACTTGTGTCACCCATTTATGAATGATGTTACGAAGTGTTGACCAGTTTATGACTAAATAGAACGAGCAGCATTTCTAATGTGATGGGTTATGATGATGGCGATGATGGAACCCTGATTGGTAACTTATGTAAAACAATTTTAGCTCATACACCTAATACTATACTTTTGATATTATACACATATTTTCTTACAAAACCTTTTAAAAAGGCACACATTCTAATGAATTAACTCATCATTTTCAGTATTTAACGTCAAGTTGGCAATGGATGGAGTTGATCTTCAGGTACATATGGTGTATCTTATGTGAATTCTATTTTTAGACTCATTCCGGTGGGAGAGTACGTACATATGTATACACCTGTCCATACATACATGTATGTAGATATATATATACACTTGCATATATATATATATATATATATATATATATATATATTATGAATATTAGCTAGATTTGTTAACGAGTACATATAAAAAATATGCTGTGTATATAAGAGTTTTTGCTTAATGACTAGCATGTTTTATTTTTGATTGAATTACTCAATAACATATTTTAAATAAAAATATCACTAAACCTTTTCGTATCATGTGCAAGTCCATCGACTTGAAAGTTTTTTAATAAATCCAATAGGGTTGATCAGGATATAGCTTAAGTTTCTATAATTTGCAAATCGTCTCAATTAGTATTGAGGCTCCACCATAATAACTCCAAGGACCACCAAGATACAAATAGACATCACAATAACTTTTTGTTAACGCAAGTAGATGTTGGAACAGCCTAATTGCTTGTATATAATTAGAGGGAAGAGAAGAAGAGATTTGTGAGCGTGCAAGTAGAGATAAAGAAACACAAAAAGTGATAACAAAGTTTTTCCCATACTCTTTCTGATCTCATCACGTTCTCCAATGTCTCTTTCATCTGATTCGAGTCTTTTTCTTCCTCTCTTTTCATGTTTTACCTCTGTCATGTTATTTTATATGACTGAATTGATACAAATTACTAATTGATTGATCTACTAACTTAGTTGCTTTTCACAGGATCAATGAGTTGATTAATAAAAAAAAATATTTAGATGCGATCGAATTGGTGACAGCTTTATCAACAATGCTATATATATACTCATTTCTGAATTTATTGCACTTTTTACTATTAAATAAGAAATGCTTTATGAACAATATATATTAGTTTGTTCTTGTTAGTTTTTGGATCA